TAAATTGTAGGTTATGTTCGTTACGAATTGATCTCATTTTGATACCAGTGAGTACTGAATAACTGTTTTGTCTTATCAGAGGACCAAGTCAAAGATCGAACCCAGGACATACAGGTTTCACAGTGAACATTTAAATATGAGAAACACTGGTAAAATTTCAACCTTAGTCAACTTGTCATATGTGATAACTGTTTCACTATCAATATGTTTGTCCAGTGTTGCTTAATTTTGAACAGTACCCTAATTGAGATCAGTCTGTGGCGAATACAGCCTAAAATATGCTTTTTTTTCACTTGGAAAATAATCTTAACGATAAGTTGATATCACCTGAAAAAAACCCAGTCATTGAATAGTATATATTCGTTACACGTTACTACTTTTCAACCTTGTATACTTGCATCTTTATTCAGAAACGAACTATGCCTTATGAACTAAGTAAATTTAGACATTGAGTTAGTGATTGCAAACATCCAATGTTTCAGTTCTGTAACTTCAGTTAGTTTACTGTATATGACTATCATTATTATGATATCTTGTAGTTGTTCCCAATTAATTAATTATTTATATCGGAATAATTAGCTTCTCATCAACTGGAGATGTTAGTAGTGTTATGCTGTCGAAGGTCATTGGTGGCAAACTTTCCACTTAAGGTTTTCTACGATTTGTTTCAGTCCGGATAAGTGTACCTAAAATCTTAAGGAAACGATTGTAAGTAACTCGGTCTTACAGGAAGTAATTTGCTGTCCAAATGTCTTAGTGCCCACGTCTCAGATTGCGAGTCTTAGTGACGTGGATTCGAATCCTATAGAAAGCGTCCATTCCCTTGGTATTGCAGGTGCGCTTTGATGATTGATACCGACTATCCTAAAACCTAGGTCGAGCACAGTTCCCTGACGACCATCTCCAACCACATCAAATCTCAACATAGTGATATCAAGTCACTGATACTGGTGAAGATACTGTAATTTGATCATTCGAATTCAATCAGCACTCAAGGGACTAGGGAAGAATGACATCGATCATTACCAAGTGTTCATTCAGTTGTTAGTTTCGAAATTATGATCATGTAATATGATAATATCTAAGAGTTGAAAACGGTCTATAACTGACTTTTATGCTGAGTTTTATTAGTGATGAGAGGTTTGTGACGATGAGTTCAATTTGTAATTTAGTTTATTATCATAACATAACTTAGACAACCATTCACAAATATGATACACAGAATACAATTCATTCGAAATGCTTACACTGGACCCCCTGCCAAATGATGATCCTAGTCATGCCAAAGAAACTTTGTACAATAACAATACACACAGAGTATAATCAAATATCATCTAAAGATCGCATTTGTCACTAATCACTGATCATTTGACTGTAGATGTTTTTTCTAACATTTTCAGTGCATAAAATAATAGATTATTAAACATTTTTATTGATTTTTGATTACTTCTTAAGAAAGAAACATTTAACCGTTTTTATACGGTATTCAAAAGAAATCAATTTACTTTTTGTATCATTCTTTTTTACTTCAATGAAGTTTTGTTGTGAGAGAACTAAGTATTGTTTAAAAAAAAGTATTATCAATAGAATATAGATGTAAACGCAAAACTACCAGTTTGCTTACACCGATGACAGCTGATAAATTGTATAAGTGATATATTTTATACTGAAATTTCCAAGTCAAGATGTTTCAATACAGATTGTGATAAACAGTTCTAAGTATTCATATATATATATATATATTTACTTACTTACTTACGCCTGTTACTCCACCTGGAGTCCCTCCAGGGGCTACTGCCGGTCTCAATCCCGGACAAAGGAGGAGGGTTTGGCATAGGGTTAGCGACCTCATCTCGTAGAAAACCAACTCGCTAAAAAAACGCTAACCAGAGAATATATATATAGTTGAAATATAATCATTTTACTCTTTAAATATACCTTATTATTTTGTAAAATCAAAGGACACATTATTAGTATTAGTACTGATGTTGAATACCATGAAATTAGGCTATAACCCTAAAATACTGTCTTCATTATTCATCAGTAATAGTTCTGTTAAACCACTGCTTGTTAAATGACTATACCGGTGTTGTTTTGTCTTTTCAGTTGTTAATAAGGGTAATCAAGCTGTCATTATTATCAAAGAACAATGTTTTATCTAGTTTTCTCTAAGAATTCTATTGGTGCTATTTTTATGATTTGTTAAATAAACAATAAATCTAGCACTGTATTTGGATGAGTTTCATAAAAATTGGTTTAATTTGTCAGTTGCATTTGCTACAGATTGATGATAGCCATATACAACTAGTTAATTGAAGTTAAAATCGTATCATTAGACGCCGACTCAGTGGTTCTAATGGCTAAGGGTTTATCGAGAAACCTGAAGGTTCTCGATCCAATTACTGTGATGGGTTTTTGTGTGTGGTGTTGTGTGTGTGTGTGTGTGTACCACTAACGGCTTCATACTAGAATGACATAGCTATCCAATGCTCCTTGATTTTAATCGATACATAAAGTGAGGTCATTATTCAACAAACAAGCCTATAGAATCAAACTAGTCACCGGTTTATCACTTTCCAGATAAAATTTGGTAAAAAAATAGATGAATGATTTCACAACATACTGAATATTAATTTGTTGATACGTCCACTCGATAGTTTGAATCAATTGAACCTTTACAGAAAGAATTCACTTTCGTAACAAAATCTGTCATGATATATTTATATAATTATTTTAGGTATATTAGGTGTTAGGAAATGATGGTAAATCAGTTGATGAGGTTGTTAATCTTCATCGACTGAGATGGTTGGGCCACGTGTTACGTATGCCTGAACACCGATTACCACGACGTGCAATGCTAACCGGTATTGGAGATGGTTGGAAGAAAGTTAGGGGCGGCCAAACCAAAACGTGGCATCAGTGCTTGAAGTCACTAACTTCTAGTCGGAGCCATGTTGGTAGATGCAGACTACTTGGTTGGGGTCCGCGTGACAATCGTAACCAATGGTTGGAGACTCTTGGTGACATGGCTCAGAATCGATCACAATGGCGTCGGTGTATACACTCTCTGTCTTCCCTTAAACTAAGAGATTAAAATCACGTCATATCTTTCTTTCTACGAACCAATTCTTTCTTCTTGTACTATATCTCCGTATGCAATCTTTCTCTTATATATTACCACCTTTGACCTAACCACTGCCATGAATCCGGTGTTCATCTTGTTGTGCTGATGCGGCATGGCAACCTGGACCGATGCACATATGTGCCTGGTCCTACGTTGCAGCTGACGGACTGACTATATAATTATATAATGTGTTAGTAGAGTTCGACTTCAATTGCTTTATTGTTTAGTAAAGGTTACGTATAGTTAATATTTGATAAGTAATTTTTACATCCGATCAACTGTTGACTAGATAGTTTATGTAACTATTTACGTTAAAAAAATGATAATTACATAACCCAGATATAAATTGAGACTTTTCAAACATCTGGTACTTAAAACTGGCCCTATACTCGGACACACTGTTCAACGTATACCTTATCTGTCTGGTAAATATTTTTAAAAAAGAGTGTATTTTTTCAATACACAGAATCAGAATTACAATTACAAAACAATGTGATGTACTAATATTGACTGAGTTTTATAATCAATAGAACAGGTAAATTGTTTGATCCCTGTAATCATCAAAAAGTACATATTTCATTTAGATTTAATACTTTATGGAAATCTCTAATCCAGACAATTGTTTCCAAACCTTTTCCATAAGGTAATGAGTCATAACGTTTACTGTGTTTGTTTTTATTCTTTCTATCCCATGACTTTCATAAGGTTGTTAATGGCGAAAATGAATTTTAATTTTCACTTTAGGATTTTGTAGGGATTAGAGAATTTACATAGTTTGTAAATCACTAACTGATCTTAGCTAAATCAGCACTGGAAACTATTGGTTTCGTCCTAGTTTAGAACTTTTCAACAGTACATATTCATGACTCCACATCTGAGAATCGGACCCAGGAAATTCGGTTTGGCATGTGGATGCTTAATCTCTAAGCCAATGAACCGGTATTCAGCTGTACTCATGTCTGACTTCAATCAACGTACGATATACTTCAACTATCTTCCATTGTCGGGGGTGAATATCTATCTCACCCATGATAGAACTCTACTTGTAATGGCTTGTCACTAAAACTCTGAGAATTGAACCTTGAATCCGGTCGCTAGTAGGCACTTGATCATTGTCAATACAGGATTTTGTTGAATTAATATGTTTTTAAGGGTTTTCAAATCATGAATTTGCAGTAAGTACAAATCCTTAACCGAAAGTCGACCCAATACTTGGTTTGACGTCATCATGAAAGTTAGTGATACTGCTATGGTGCCAAAAAATGAAATATGAGAATAGAGGTTCGAACCTGAAAATTTATTATTCAGGGTCAAATGCTTCTTCAAACATTAACCCATCACTCCTTAGAAAAATATGAACACTGATATTGCCTTTTTATTGTAACGGTGCAAAATTTTCTATCAGTGTTCGAACACACCATTGAAGCTTCTAAACCGCACAGAATTACGTACATTAGTCATCTAAAGTTTCCTGTTCATCGGTTTTTGTCATCATTCGTCACTTTTAGTCTTCTGGGAACTGATATTTTCTATGGTTTAATTACTAAGCTGAAACTTATAACATTTTCTTACAAAAATTAAAAATAAGGTTTATAATTCAAATATTTTATTACATATAAATTGACATGACACCATTTTCAACAAGAATCTTTTCTTTTCTATTTGAATCAGATTGGCAGCAGATGCACTGTCATCAGTATCGGAAAGTGAACAAAGTCTAATTCATTTAACTGATAATCCACTTCCTAATCCACATTTTGAATCAGTTAAAAAAGGAGAAATTATCATTCAAAATGTTGATTACACTAATAAATATTTGCATAGTATTAAACGTGTACATAAATGAATTGAAGATGAATTAATGATGGAATATGATATGAATAGTACTAATACAACAACTACTACAACTACAACAAAGACAGCATCAATCAATACCATTACTGATAATGACAATGATGATGAAATTAGTCGAGGCAATAAATTCTCACGATATCATGAAAAGGAGGAATTTTGTACACCATGTTATATTCATCAAACTAAGAAAGATATATCTACAAAGAGTACTAATAAACGGTCAATTTTAACAACAAAAAATTACTCTACAACAACTGGTCTATTATATGATTTACTATCGGGTACAGAAAACTTCGATTCAGTTTATTTGAGGAGTCAGTTAGTGTTTTTGACATGTGATAATGCGAAATCAATAACTAATCTTAAAAAAGATAACTTTCTTAGTCGACGCAAAATCAATAATTCATCATCTGTTCAAAGGAGACGTAAATCAATTAAACCAAAGAAGTACTGTCATAGTTTACAAACTTAGAAAACTTCCATCAGTAATGGTAGAAAAATTTTCCAGGACAATCTGTTAGGCGAGAAGTTGTCATCGTCTTCTCCATTATCATCATCATCTTTATCATCATCACCTTCATCTTCATCATCTTCGTCTACATTGAGCCCTGCACATATTAATTTGTTAACACATTCCCAGTTATCTCCAACGAAGTTATTTGATAGATTTGAATACTTAAAAACCAACCACGCTCTACATTCCCAGTCACCTATTAATCATTTTCCTACTGTGCATACTGCTAATCTCACTACCGTTACAACTTCTACAACTATGAATAGTCAAGAATGTTCTGAACAACCACTTGATTATTCTTCAGCTTCCTCTCATTCCAATCACTCAGGTTTACTCAATAACTTTAAATGTAATATTCCTACCTCAGATATCAAAACCTCAAAAAGAAGGAGGAGTTTTGCCGGTGATTTAGATTACACTTCACGATTTTTTGACAATTCAAGTATTCTACGATGGAATAGTTTAAGACATAATTCAGTTACATTCCCTGTGTCTCATACTGTAAGCAAATTTAGGAATTGTATTACTTCTAGTACCAATGTTACTGGTAGTACTACCATTAATACTATCAGTAATAGTAATTTAAGACCTGAACGTCAGCCATCAGAAGAATTTATTCGTAAAGATATTGAACAAAAACTACATAAGAATAATCTGAATAATACATCGAACAATGAATCAACCTTACTAGGAGCCAACTTACTTAACTTAATTCTATCTCCAGCATGTTATCAAATGGCTTTATCCGCTGCATTCGCCTTATGTGCATCTTCCGTTTTTCCGTCTTTTGATAATACAATATATCGAAATAATGATTTTTCAAATTCATGTAATAGCCTTAAGACAACAAGTGAATTAGCCTGTAATCTATGGACATTATCGAATTCCAATCGAATTACTTCTAGTGAACAAATGAATGAAAATAATCAACAATATTTATCAAAGTCAAATCAATCATCATCAAGATTATCAGACGAGAAACATGATAATATTTCAAAACCGGTACATATACAACATTCATCATCAATTCAATCCAAGCTCAATGTAAAACTTAATTCATTGACAAAATTAAAAACCGGTGAAAGTGTACCATCTAAAAAATCCATTTTAAAATTACACTTCTTCCTTAAAAACACTCAACATAATCATCAAACAAAACTTTTGAAGAAAAAACAAACTCTTCACATAGTCGAACATTGTATCAACATTCCAGTAAAAACAACAACAACAACAAAATCAATAATGCTGTTACACATACAGCTGAGGATGATGATGATGATGATAATGATGAGGATGTGATCAATGCACAACATTCCTTTATTACTCCATCTATTAAAATTTCCAGTCAAAATCTAACCTTTTACAATAAATTAAAACAGTGGTTTAGACAAATGATTCATTTAATTGAACAACCAAAATTAGCAATAATCTCTTTATTACATAATAATATTAGACATGATTTAACCACGACAAATTTATTCGATTCATTCAATGAATATCTATTAGATCAGTCGAGTGATACAAGATTAGAACTTTTAAACATATCATGGTATCGGTTATTGATAGGTTATTTAATTGAACATGAACATTTGAATTCACTCATGACAACATTTTCATCATCGTCACCATCACCATCATCATCATCATCATCATCGCCATCGTCTACGTCATTGTCACCAGTGAATGATAAGAGTAAATTTAATGGGGAGAAATTAATAATTGAGAAAAAATTTCGAATCGGTAAATCGATAAATTCAAAGAGGAAATATGTTGAAAGGATCAGCGCCTTTCATGATATTCAATCAATAGCAACCATATGTTATTCACTGAAATTTACTCATTCAGTTTACAGTCTGATTCGAATTGGTTTATTAATATTAGGTCAGTTATATATATATATATATATATATATATATATATATATATATATATATCTATATATCTATATATGCTTTTAAAATAAACTATGACTGATACAATTGTCAATAGTTGAGATCATGAGTGAACTGAAGCTAAACCCCCATAGAAAACTTGGAAGCACTGAACGACCACAATGAGACAAAACGGCCGTCCAATGCTTCCAGGTTTTCCATGGTGATCTAACATCAATCGTTTCATGATCTCAATCAAAAACTTAACAATCTCCACAACCCGGAAACTGATAAATAAATAGTTGATCAACTTAACCTACTTATATATTTCTCATTGCTAATATTAACATTTACTATGTACGCATACAAACAATCAGAAATTTGATTAGTACATTTATCCATCAGACATCTTTCTATGTATTAGAATTGTTAGACAGAGAAATGACCCAGACCTTGTTATACTGTTACTAGCTTATAATCTATTTGAATACAAGTCATTTTATATAGGTAGTGTATAATTCCCTTCTTCATTTAAGGATTCTTCTTAAGTGAATCGAGACTATGAAAACAATTTGATTGTATCTAATTGTTAATTAATCTATATTGTTTTGATCTCATTGTGACGACGTAACAATTGTCAGTAAGCGAGTAAATACCTTATTGAAGAAAAGCATTTTACCTTTTCTATGAATGTGTCGCAGATAACGGCAAATAGATATCAATATTTTGTCATCATAATAATAATAATAATATAATAAATTATTATTATTATTATTATTATTATTATTATTAGTAGTAGTAGTAGTAGTAGTAGTATTACTATTATTTTGATTTGACGTAATAAGGAATCTCTTGGATTGGTTGAGGTTAGACGTTAACACCATTGGATGCCGGCTCAGTGGTTCAGTAGGTTAAGCGTTCGTGCGCGAGACTGAAGTCCCTGGGTTTGAATCCCGCGAGCGGGATCGTGTATGCGCACTACTAAGGAGTCCCACAATAGGACGAAACGGCCTTTCAGTGCTTCCAGGTTTTCATTGGTGGTCTAACATCACTCGGTTCATGATCTCAATCAAAAGAATTTAGAATTGACGAATGTATTTTACTTGTCAAATTATTTGTTTAGAATTCCGTAATCATATTAAAATAGGAAAGATTATTATTGTTATGTAAAAGCTTTTCTCATTTAGTTCAGCTATAAATATTGATCTATATGTCAAAAGATAATTAAGTAATTGACTTGTAATTAACAAACTGCTGATTAAGTTACATAATAAAGCAACTTATTATAGACTTGAAAGCAACCTATCTCTATTGTTTTCATTTTAGGATTATTCACAAGTGCTCCCCCCTATCATTTTATACAGGATAATCGGTTCTTGTTGTGAACGTGATACAATTAAATCACTGAGTTGAAATATGATGGTCTTTTATTACAATTCCAGTTTTGAATTTAGAGCTATCATTATACTATACTATAAGTACATAACTGAACCTCTTGTACTATACTCGATTCCTCAAGTCACGGCTTTTTACTGGAACTATTCAAGAGTTCTAAAACTAGGACGAAGTACCTGGGTGTCTGTCATCCGTTTTTTTAATAGTTCTTCAGTCAACCCTCATTTAGATAACTATTCAGTATGATATTTCCATATGACAGTTGAGTGACTGCTGTGTTTTTGCTAAGTATTTTCTAGTTCATTGTAATTTAGTGGTTTGGGTAACTTACCTTAAGTTATGACGTTTATAAATTTTGAGAATTTTATCAACCAACTTCATAAATCTAATTCTAACTGGATTATGTTTTCATCAAGTGTAGGCGTATGAAATGTTGATTTTAATTGCATTAGATCTTTGTAGCAAGTAAAACTGGAAATTTGGCAGACACATTAAGAAGCCGAGTCAACAGAAATTGTTGTACACACAAATGTTAATCCACAAGTAGCGTTGTGTGCACTACTTGTAGAAACATATATAAGTAGTATGTTTAGGAGTTGAATGTAGAATGCTCATGGATAAAAGAGGAAATGAGAGTAAGGATAAAAAAGAAGGCAAAAAGTAGTCAAAATATAGACAGAATCAAGAAACGATTGCGTTTGTGAGGGACAACTATGGTAAGATGGGCAACTAACGTATTCAATGTATTATTTTCATACTTTACACATCAGATGTGTGATCTCACAGTGGCATTTAAGCAATTTTGTTTCATTAGTGTTAGAATTCTAGTCTGTTTTAATTTTCAGACATGGAAAATCGTCTTTTTCTGTAGAAACCTGAGTAGTCTCAAATTCAAACAGTAATGGGAAGGATTTGAGCATTTTACAATGACACGTTAACTATTTATAATTGATTTCTTAGGTTAGTAATTTTGGTCATCCAAAGTCGCCCAGTTGACTTACGAAAAAAATTATGCTTCAGTTCCTAATATAATTATATGTTATTTTTACTTTTGACATTTCTGTTATGTGTTTTTCTGATTGTCAAGGCAATTATCAAAAAACGCAATCTATCAATGATATCCATTGGTTGGAACAAACACTTCTAGAATATATAGTCACAACCAAAGTAACCAAGGAAAAATCTAATTCCAGTCCAAACTCATCACCACAGAGGTGTCAGACAATGAGTACCAATCTTTCTGATAACTTTAATACTACTACAACTACTACTCTTACTGATGTGTTCAACTGTATCAATATTGGTAACAGTAACAGTAATAGTAGTAGTAGTAGTAACAATGTCAGTAGCAGTGTTATTCCTATTGATGCACCATCCATGATACATACATTAATTGATAAACTATTGAATATAACTAAAGAGTCAATTATTTTCTTTGTATCTAATCAATTAGGTGATTCAGTTGAAGATTTATTCAACAGTCTTGTCAAAATCTCACAAACATAATTCCAATGTTCTAAAACAACGTTTTTTTTGTTTTGTGTTTTTTTTGTCTATTTTTTTCTTTTCATCGATACTTTATCTTCAATTTGTTTTCGATTGTTTATAAGTGCTATTATCATTACTATTATTATTACTACTACTATTATTGTTAATTACCTAATATATGATCTTTTGTTTTAACTGAATGCGCCCCGAGGTAAATGAACACATTGAATATTTATTATTATTATCATTATATTCATCACTATATCTACTAATAAATGAATATTGAATTGTTAATTCTACCTCATAAAGAATGACAATTTATTTTTGACTTATCTAGTTATAACTAATGTTCCATTTGTTTCATGTTTTCAATTATTTTCTATCGTTTTCTCTTATTCACTAGCTTTTTTCCCTCCCTCCCTCCCTCCCTCCTCCCTCTCTCACTCTCATAAAACTACATCCTTTTCTATAATTGTTAGTCGCTTATTCTTTTTTTTCTAACATAATTCCAATCGTTAGTTTATCTTGGAAACTGATTGCAGAAATATTGTTGAAATAGTCCTCTGTAATGCATCACATGACAAAATTACTTTTCAAACGATGGTTACTTTAGTATTATTATTATTATTATTATTATTATTATTTTTACCCTTGTTTTCTCCAGTTTCCCATAGGGTTGTTACGATTTTTCATTGTTGTTTTTGGTGTTTAAATCAATTTATACGCAGAGTTGGTTTGCAATACATTCAATCTCATAATTTCACTATTCTATCTCCCTTTCTTCTTCTTCTTCTTATCATTATTATTATTACTGTCGATAATGCCGGTGAAATTATTATTTAAAAAAAACCACAGCACAACTGAAATAAATATTTACTTGATAATAATAATAATGACTGTAGTAAATACAATTTTCGACCCCTCGTGAATGGATATTGATTTTTTGGACAATTTTTTTCCTTGTTCGTCATTATTATTTATTTCGTCTGTAATCACTCTTGTTATTAATTTTTCTTTCACTATTTCTGTCTCTATGAAAATATCGCCTCTCCTTTGTTGGGTTGTCCTAAATACTATTATTTGTTGGATCAAAGTAGTAACAAGTTGATAAGGTTGGGCATCTTGTCATGTGTGTGTGTGTGTGGTTGGTTGGTTGGTTTCTGAATTTTTTTTACAAACATTAAAAGAAATCTTGTCTCTTCGTTGTTTTCTTTCTCAGCATACGACTGTTGTTTATCCTATCTTCCAAATCTTAATTTGTTTAGAGTTTTTTGTGCTCACCATACTTTGTTATTTCTCTTTTTCATTACTTATTGTTTTTTGGTTGGTTACAGAGATGGGGTAATAAAAAGTTTCAAAAAAAAACTGGATAATCTTGAATTGTTAGTGTTCTTATATGAGGATAGAAAAAGATTTAAGTTAGCCTGTCGTTGATATTCAGAACTAAATTTTGATCAGTTTCTGTTGGCATATGCGTAACATGAGTGGATTACCTTGATATAGCCATTATGTCGGAAGATTTCTACAGAATACATGTAATGTAGCTAACAGTGAATTACCAACAGCAAGGTGACTCAAATGCTGCCTTCTAACAATGTAAATAGTATGTCTGTTTGAGCTATTGTCTAGGTAGATTGGGTAGCCCAACGGATAACTTCGTTGGCGTTGGAAACCAAAGATACGAGTTTCGATTACTGATGTTAAAAAAACACTGAGATTCAGATATATCCAGCTGATGAGTCTCAAATGGGACTAGATTCCTGCTCTGTGTGCTGATACTAGCCACAATCTATTTGTTCTTGAAAACTTTTTTGAACATCTTTAATTATTCGACAATGGCGTACATATTATCAAATTGAAAAGCAATTTTAAATACGTAGAATATTTTTAAAAAGCTTCTAAATAACTGGTGGGCATGACTTATGTAAGAATCAGCACAATTCCAGTAGATAGTGAAGAAGATTTGTGGCTCAGGTGGATGATTTTGATGGAGCTTAGAGAATAAAACTATTAAAAACAATTCTAATGGGTTTTATATTGATGTGTTGACCATTTAGGGACTATTTTAAAAGTTGAACTATTTACAATAATGTACAGGAAATTGTTTAACAATGTTTCATATTATTTAGTACTCAATCATTAACAAGACTTATCTCCATTGTGAAGCTAGTAGAATACGAATGTAAATCGGGCAACATGCAAATATATAGAATACTGAAATATTTACCTGTTTAATTCCATTCATGTTCTGTCAGTATAATACGCTAAAATACGAGATGAATCTATAAATGTAATGGTTGTCTATTAACTCAGTTGATAAAATCTCAACAAAGGATACACTTATTTTGATTGGCTAACTTTATAGTTTTATAACCCTCTAATTATTCGAATATAATCGTTTTTTGAATTTCATTTCATGATAAAGTATTATGTCCACATATTAGAAGCTATAAAAGATACTAAAGAATTTAGTTAACTTTTTCTAGAGGATTCCGATATCCTACAAAAGTACATGATCAAACTGAGTAAAAGATGTAATCGAAAACAATGTGCGATATACCCGTTTCAACAATGAACTTCTCGTAACCGTTAACATCGTATATGATATAATTCTGAGGTATCCATTTAACAAGGCATACTTTGTATTAAGGAATAGTTATATATTAAAGATGCCATAAAGTAAGCATGAATATTGGAGATTAAAATGGGTTTTAAACTATGGACTAATCTTAGCTAGACCACTATATGAAATCTGGAACCACTGAACGACTGTTTAGCCTAAGCAGTGTTACCTATGACCATTCAACTAGAAGTCGAACTTGGGATCTCTGGCCTCGCACAAGAACGCTCAACCTCAACCGCTGAGACGGTGTCGCGAAATGTCCCGAACTGACGGAATTTAGGCATTAAATTCTTGGTTACCGGCTTATTGATCTACAGGTTAAGGGTTTACGCTCAATACTGAATGTGCTGTGTTTGATTCTCGGATGCAAGACTGTAGATGTACACTGCTAAAGAATACTACACTACGATAAAATGGTCATCCTATGCTTCCACGTTTTCAATCGTGATTTAGCTAAGATCACTCTAATTTAAAAACGAAAAATTCTATTATCTCAACAAACCGCCATACTGATAATTCCTGAATAGCAGTTTAAATCGAATCACCAGGGAGTTGAGTATGATCATTTAGATTCTAATTTATGCAGCTTAATATTTTAAGAGCCATATTAATAACGCTTACTAAATGTCAAAACAGGATATAAAGTTGTGAAATATGTATATTTGTTAGTAATAATACATGGTTAGCGTTTTTTTAGCGAGTTAGTTTTCTACAGGATGGGGTCGCTAACCCCATGCCAAACCCCCTCCTTTATCCGGGCTTGGGACCGGCAGTAGCCCCCGGAGGGACTCCAGGCGGAGTTAGTGATACATGACTTGAGTAAATACTCCATTACTGATCAACATTTAGTGAATATGAATTTTTAAGAAGACCAGTTATTATATTGTAGTCACTTATATAAGAAATTATTTTGAACTGAGGAATTAACAATGCAATTAAATTAAAACAATCCCAATGTTTATCACTGATTCTTTTTTCTAGTAACCACCATTTTTTGAAAAAAATTCATATATCACTATGGTGAGTTTGTCAAAGCATTCAATTAACTTACTAGCTACAAAGTTGTCAGTCCATTAGAAATGAACTGAGAAAGTTCAAAGGAAACACTTGTAGATACATGTTCTTTTTTTTTTCTATTGCATTTGATTTCATTGATATCATGACAAACAACATCATACTTTAATAATAGTGTAATTACAATTGAATTTGTATTATATTGAAATACATTATAACAAAATAGATTTCATAAAGAAATATATATATGTCAAATAATTCTTGTAGAACACAAGAGACAAAGTGTATGTATGTGTGTGTGTGAGTGAGTGAGCGAGCGAGCGAGCGAGTGTCAGAGTGTGTGTGTGTGTGCGAGTGAGTGAGAGAGAGAGAGAGAAAGGAAGATAGAATCAATGAAAGGGAGTAATATGAAATTCATTCATCGCTATAATTGTTTATTCATGTTTATTCTTAGTTTCAGGCTATTTAATATTAAATGCTTGAATATTAGAACAAAATAAATAATTCACATCAACATTTATTGTCATGTAAAATTAAATTGTCAATTCTTTCATTTCTGATGAATTGACATACAACACTATGGACAATAATAATAATTGTCCTTATTATTTTTCATAAGACTAAATTGGATCTCTTTTTAATTCAACTTTCATACTTAATTAATGATATAGTAATCAAATGTTCAGACATTTTTACAGGGTATATTTACCATAAGAAACAGTTGAAAGTGAATGCCTAGAAAGAGAGAGATGTTATTTGGTACCATTCATGAAGTCAGTTCTTATTGTTAATTCATATGTATATGGATTTATATTAAATCAATCTGTAGTTGAGATTAGTTGTTTATCAGTTGAAGAGGGGGGACCGAAAGGACGTATAGTACGTCGGCGGCCTGCTTGAATATCTGAACTACCTGTTTCTGCTATCAGGATATTTCAACAAGTTATCCGTTTCTTGTTTGTTTAATACATCATAATGTCTGTTGAGTGTACAACCTATTCAGGTGCGTTTATGAAAAAGTTGACGACATTTCGCTGTACAGATTATAAAAAGGTACAATCAGAGACATCATGGTGATTGACAATATGCATTGAAAAGAACAAACATTATTCAGATGTCGATTACAGAACTGCTAACATCTAACTGGAGATCACTCAATATTTATCGTCAGGATCGATCAAGAAATAACAAACGGAAACTTGTTGAAATACTTTGCGGTGAGAATTCTATATTGTACCAAAAATGTAATATCGAATAAAGCTAATAATAGTAATCGATCAGTCAGTAATAAACAGTTCAGGATCTAAGTCAAATGTGCGCCAGTCTTAGCTGCCTCGGTCTATCAACAGGCGAAATGAAACGAATAAAATAAATATCAAATGAGCCAAAATAGTAGTAGTAGTAGTCGCGCAGTGAACAATAATACAGGCGAGAACAACCATATGTAATCTAATACATTACAGAATATCTTAGTAAGATCTGAGAACCATACAGTAAATAATTCATTTGCAA